GACCCAAGCCCCCCTCTCCACTGGGTCCCAGCCAGGGCCGGCTCCAGGCACCAGCTTAACAAGCAGGTGCTTGGGGCGGCCAAGGGAGAGGGGCGGCACCTGCGGCAATTCGGGGGCGGCAGGTCCCTCACTCCCTCTAGGAGCGAAGGACCTGCCACTGAACTGCCGCCGCCAATCACGGCTTTTTGTTGTTGTTGTTTTTTTTTTTGCTTGGGGCGGCAGAAAGGCTGGAGCCGGCCCTGGGACCTATTGGTGACAGGAGTGGCCCTCACCCAGTCAGCAGGGAATCCTATCGCAACACACTGACCTTGCTCGGGTGTTAGATACCACTCCCTTTGCCTTCCTGGGCCATTTCCTACTGCATCTCCCATGGGTAGCAACCTGGGTCTTCAGCTTCCCTGGTGGGGGTAACTCCCTGGAAGTCCAACTCCCGGAGGTCTGCTGGAGATAGCAGTTCACCAGTCTGGTCCCTGGGTTCTCCAGTTCACGCAGTCTCTAGCTGTAGCAGCTCCTAGCCTGGAGCCTCTATCAAGCATCTTCTCCCCTCAGTCGTCAGTCTAGAACGAGCTGGGCTGCTTCCTTTTATACTACGGCAGCAGTTAGAGCATCTCCAGCACGGTCTGAGAGGCAGGACTTCTGCCACCCTTAATGTGGGGTTAACCTTTTCTTCTCCAGTGTGGGCTATCACACATGCCTATACAGGCACTGACTGTGTATTGCAGCTTTGATTTCATTAGGATGGTTTTTTTGCAAATGTAACTAATCTCGTAAAGTAGGTAGTATTACCCAATTAGTATGTATTGGGACAACTGAAGGAAAGATGTCACAATTATGAAGGCTACAAAGGTAATCGATGTCATCGTCAGGATTGGAACATTGGGGCTTGCAGGCAATCCAGTCTTGTGCTTAGACTGCTTGACCCAGCCCCTTTTTAGCTTTAATGACTAAAGCGGGGCCACAAGTTGCAGACTGTTGAAAAAACTTATCCTGTTTCAAAGAAACTCAATGCAATTTGGAAACAAGTAACAGCATAAAACAGACTTCTGCAAATACTTCGCTAGTTTTAAAATACTGCCTGTCTATCCCTACTTTCAGATAACGATTGTGGCAATTCTGGGCTGTGTAACTATTCCGGAGCCATAGTGATAATTTCCCCTAATCATCTCTCTCTTCTGTTGTGTTGCTGCTAACCCATTTCCAAGGCTATTTCACTGATTCAGTTTAAGCTCATGTTCATATAGAAGATTTGTTCTCCGTGGATTGCACACACAAGTCAGACAGGCTACCAATAAACTGCAACCTGCTTCTTCATTTAACCTGTAATTTTTGGAGCACTGGACTCGAAAGTGCAAATCAGACAAGCTCCACATTACAGAAAATGTAATAGAATTAGTATCTTTGACTTGTGTGTCAACAGATGAATTAAACACTTGGAATATTTGTCTGTAACGCAGTCCTGAGACCTCTTCCTCCTCATCCCCTTCAGGGGAAATAGGTAGCTCAACTGAAGGTTCAAAACTATCAGTTTGACCTTGCTAATGTGTATTTTTTTTTCTCTGTTCAGAGTATGCGGCTGAAGTTGATAGCAAACAACACAACAGTGGAGCGGAGGTTCAGTTCATGGATTGGTGGTTCAATTTTGGCTTCTCTGGTTAGTAAACATACATAGCTTTGGAAGGGATGCTGAGCAGCATCATTAGCTGAAAACCTAATTCCATAGGAGGCTTTTTCGTGATTGAGTTTCATAGCAGCTGCTGCTCCTGTAGTAGCTCTGCTGAGCATGGTGTGGGAGGGGAGAAACCTGATGATAAAGTAATGAATACTCTATGCATAAACCTAAAGAATCTTAATTAAGCTCCTTTCCTTGCCTCCAAAGGGGAAGGAGGTGGGGCTCCTGAGGTATTCTCTTGCTGGATCTTTAGAAAACTACATGCCATCTAGAGCATTCTAAAAGTACTAAACTTGCAGGATCAGGCCCCAAAATACATCTGAAAAACAAGTTGCTGAGCACACGAGAGACGAGAATAGCAGGGAGTAGTTTAGTAATATCCAGAGAGGGGGTGGAAGCAACAGTTGATGTGACAATCTTCCCTAGTTGCTTAACATGCAAACCCCAGTTTAAAGATACGTTTAGCTAGCTGGAGCCATGGTCCTGTGCTGCAGCCTGAAAAATATAAAAGCTGGTTTGCTTTTCATGCTGTCAGAGCTAATGATACCCTGGGTACAGCACTGAGTTGTTGTTGTTGTTGTTTTCCTGTTTTGCAGGGTACCTTTCAACAAATGTGGATCTCTAAACAAGAGTATGAAGAAGGAGGGAAGCAGTGTGTAGAAAGGAAATGCCCATAGACCTCACCCTATGAGAAACTGCTGCCTTCCCAATGCTCCTTATGTTTCATAGCTTTAGTGTACTCAGGAATGGGATGGAATCTTTTGTAGAAAGTTTATACTGTTTTGGTTTTTTGCATACTTCAAGATCCATTTTTACAAACCTTAGACATTGTTTAAAAGGCCTAACTGGTCCCGTCACAGAAAATGGATGTTTCATCCCTTGAAATGCAATAACTCTTATTATAAGTATTTTATAATTTTGTATAAATGTCTATTTTCTCTAAAAATCTTTTCCTGTGGGTAGCTTTACAGGTTAGCTGGTAGATGCAATACTTTGAAATGCCCTTGCATCAAATTTATTAAAAAAAAATCTTGTCTACTTTTACAGATTAGTCTTCCCTGTTGATATGCTGTCCTTAACAAATTACTCTAATTTGTCTTTTAAAAAAATAAAATGGTCCCGTTTTCACATTTTGAGCAACACTGGTTTTCAGCAAGCATTCATACTCTTCTGTAATTAATAAACAATCCAGATGGAAAACTATTTTTTATACTTATATCTATCTGAGGCAGCCCCTTTCAACCTAAACTGTGAAGCTGCTGCAATAGCACTAGCCTTGTAGTGGAAAATGTTCTCTTGATATTCTCCTCTTTCATGGTGTACTATGAAGTAGTTAAGGCCCAGAATATAGGCTATGTATAAATTTGGTTCTAAAACTATTCTGAATAGAAGTGAGTTCATTTCAGTGAATATTTGGCATATACCGTACTTTCCACCTTCAGAGGTATGAGAATGCACTTAGCTTGGACAACGTGTGTGATCTAGGTTAGTAGCGTATTCATTTTAGAGATTGGGAAGCTGAGGCAGTGACTGCCTAAAGCCACAAAGGAAATTTTGTGTCCAAGCTTGGTTTACAACTCAAGACCACCTGGCTCTGTTTTGTATTTAGATTCCACCCCTGCCATAATGAAGTTTTGGTTCTGAATTTTAAAATTCCCCTGTTAGAAAAGCAGTGCCCATTTGTTCTTTAAACCAGTGATCTCCCCCGCAGTTCGGCCAGGAGTCTGAGCGGCTTTTTTTGTTATTGTTGCTTCGATGGTTTGGCTGGGAGCAGGGGGTGCGTGCTCAAAAATTTTTTACTGATGGGGTGCACGATCAAAAGAGTTTGGAGTCCACTGCTTTAAACAATTAAAAATGGCCACATGAAAGTTCTTGACACCTTAACAATTAGGTTTACAATCTAATAATGATAAACCAATACCAGTGATAAACTGTATAAAATTGTCATATAGGAAATAAGTGAACAGAGCTAGCCAATAACTTAAAATCGAAATGCTCCTTCATCTCCCAGGAATAGACCCCTTAACCTCTCTACATGCCTCATCAACTAAATGACTTTAACAGCATGCCTTGATGGTCATCAGTTTGGGCTATTTTGGATCAAAGGCGAGACCAAGTTCCAGATTCTCAGGGCTGTCGGCTGCTAGCACCGGCCCCTCTCAAAACAAGGCAGGATCCAACTCAAGTGTCTCTGACTGCAACTGCAGTATGGCATACAGAGAGGGGTGATCATTGTGGTAGGGTAGGACAAATAAACTGATTAGGAGAAACTTAAATGGTGAAAGTAAACAAGACTCTTATAACTGTACAACCACATTCAAGTGCCATTAGTGAAATGTCAGGATGTATCGAATATATGTTGACAACTGGGCAAGGAGAAAATAAAGTTGACTTTTATTATTACTCCCTAAACTTAAGAAGGAAAACGCTATGATGCAGAATGCCAGAGCCTGTTTATGTGTATAAATAATGGAATAATTTATACCCCTCTATCAATTATAGAGTGAGGGAAAGCACACTATACTTTCTTCTAGGACAAAAAAATTATAGTATGACTAAAAAAAATCACTCATCTGCGACAGTTAACTAGTGCCTTTCCCAGAGCAAAAACAACTTCATCTACTTAAAAACAAACCCCTCCCCACATTTTTTGCTGTTTATCCTTTATGCTGCAGGGGAATATTTAGGAAGGCTAATATTTTCTCAGGTATTTGATTCCATCACAGCTTGTCCTATTTGATTACTTTTGTAGGTGGTAGTGTTAAATGTTTTATGGAAGGTTATCATGTTTGTAAACAGTGATTCTACTTTAATTTTGTAAAAGATTCAATGAGTGGTTATTGGTATGCAACTCAACTCCTGTTCACCATGAAATAGAGTACTAAAGATGAGTAAGCTCTTATGTCTTACCTACTCTATCTAGGTAAAAGTAGAGTTTCACTTAGAGACAGGAAAAAGTTCTCTTCTGCATTGACTAGGACAATTAATTGAATCCAAGGTGGTGGTTGCTGCATATAGTATGGCTGAATCTAGCCACATCTGTCCTTTCCTTCAAAGCTACTTCTTTCAAACAGGTACTGCTAACTGTACTCTTAATTTTTAATTTATTTCTTAACTAAACATTCTGGAAGACCAAAAATGTTCTACAAGTGCAAGTCAGGTGCATTGAATGGTTTTGTAATGGAATAATTGCCTTCTGTACAGATATAGCTTTTAGGCAGCTCAAGTTACATACACAGTTTCAGTGTTGCAGAATTATAGAATTCAGTTGTCCCGTTGATTAAGTCTCCATAGTAGATCTCAGCACCAGTTGCATTCAATTAATTATCAATTGACAGCTAAATATCTTTATTAATAGGGAAGAGCTGGGTGCTGCTATGTATATCTTAGTATACATTATACATGAAACTACCTAAACTTTAATTGCAAATAGCAAAGTTGTCCTTAACTTGTTACTTAGGTATCTAGTGTTGTGCTACTACTAATGCAAATATTTATTTCTGAAGAATATTTGAAAGCTTTCCCCTGCCAGGAACATAATTAGGCTGCAGGCTCTAATGTGATAAAGCAAAGAGCCAGTGACTTACAAAAATAAGTGTAGGGCTATGTTAGAAAATGTGAACATTTCCACTGAATCTACCAAAGATAGCACAGGCTAAATTCCTGGTTATCTTCAAGCTACTCCCTCCTTACTAAGAAAACTGGGAGACAGCTATCAAGCCAGATTTAAAATTAATTTGACTGAGACGTGCCCTATCTAATTTACCATTGCTTTCTGTAGAGATGTTGCTCTTGAACTTTCTATTCCTTTCCCTTACCTACTTGATTTTACAACTAGGTGGTCAGTTTGCTGGTGTAATTTGCTGCCTAATGCATTTGTTATTTTGTTGTACTTAAATAGAGCAGTCCAGTGCATTGGACAGCTGCTATAGTTTGTATAATGTGCTACGCTAAGTGTTAAGTGCAAAAAAGAAAAAGGGAGAGAAGACCTCTTTATTTAAAGCTAAAGCAGACACATGTCTACAACTGCCTTGATTGCAATCTGTCTTGCAGATGCCTTTTTACCGTTAAGCATATACAATTCAGCTTTATAGTAAATGACACGTAATATTAAAACATTAATTTTCAGCACCTGGTTTCTGGAAAAGTAGTATTTTATCAATCAGTTAAATGACTCAGTACAAATTGTTATTGTTTTGCTCTGAAGATCTCTCAACCCAGATATGAATTTTATTTTTAGGGTTGAGGAGCTTTATTTGGGCAGGGAAAAAGAGAACAAAAAACCCTCACAGGCAGCCCTGTTCTTTATCTGCTGCCCACTGAAAATATGTTCACACTACATGCCAGTCACATGTAGCATCTTAAGACTACTGCAATAAAACTATTACTTGCATCACGCTTCCAGCTTGATATTAATTCTGTGATTGTGCAGCAAGGTGAGGGAATTTCTCTTGTAAAAGGAGCTGTTTCTTTTTTTCTAAGCTTTTCATCCTTGCTTGTTTTTTCAAGTGTTGTTCTATTCTGAGTCTGTAATGAAGAAAAAGAAGCATTAATTGTTAAATTTCATTATAGTCCAACACGTTCTCCAAGTCATATCACTTATGCAAAAATTTTAAAGATTTTTTTGAATCACTTTATTGAATTTTCTAAGACTTTCAAACTGGGCAATTAGTTTAACTGGGTAAGCTGGCTTCTATTAACAAGAGTTCACTTAACCTTGGAGACTCAAGTTCAGCAATCAACATGAATTTATATCAGAGGCTTGTGCTGGCTTCAAGACCTGGGCCCAGCTAATACTGATAACAGTTGCTATGATGAGTAGAAGCTGGAACTAAAGAGGAGAAAGGGCACCTACTTTATATTAGCAATAATGCACTACGCCAGTTCCCCACTGCTCCAAGTTTTATGAACACACCTTTTATTCATGCTTTTCCCCTGCTATTCACAGGGAAAGGGCAGTTCTGCCATAGTTCCAAGAGGAGAAGTATATTTCATGCAAATTGTATCCTCAAATGCTTTACAGTAATACAAGTTATATAAGATGCCTGGCATATGTATGAAGTATAAATGTCTGAAGTGAACAAATTAAGAGGGCAGCAATGAAAAATAAAAGGAGAAAATAGGCTGCTAGGGGGAAATACCCAAAGTTGTTTTTAGTTTACAGAAGCTGCAGAGATGATGTTTCTCCAGTTAATCACCCCTCTGAACCAGGAAACATACCAGTTGCTGACAATGGTTTTCAGTAACTGGTGTCCCTGAACTGCTAGCGGAAATAGAACAGTTTAACACTAGTGCAGAACTCATCTCTTAACCATGATTTCTGTAACAGTGCTCAAGACAGTTTTGTCCCATCTTCACTAGCAGATGAGCAATTTAACAGGAGTACAGGGGGCCATTGCTGACAACACTCAGTTTTCCAGTGTAAACAGGTCTTGAGTGGAAGACTCTAGAGGGGCAACAAGATGTATGATGGATTCCTACATGTGAATTTTAGAACTGTACCAATAATTCTTTACTGCTCCTTTGACTCTTGTCCTCTAGCAGAAAATTAGAGACACATCCAAACCACCAAGTCTCTGCTGTCATGCACTGGGATCTCTCCAAACATGCTTTTCAATGCAAAATTAAGGGGAAGTGCCAGCATGGATTTGTGGGAGAAAGTTAGTAAATTTGGTCAACTGGAGTACATTCCCTACACGGTGTTTAATAATGAAACAATGGACATAACTAGTTTATTTCAAACAAGCACTTGATACTGTAAATACAACAGATTAACAGTTCAAGATGAAGTAGCAACAGTGAAAGGAGTTGTTTTAGGAAAACAGAGGTTGCCAGTAGAGATATAGTCCCAGGTCAAAGTAGTAAGCAGGAACTGGGTTAAGTTGCTTTGTGGTAGTATGCAATGGGAGATCTTTTCTAGTGACTAGACTGGAGGATGTTTAGAAAGATACTAGGAAAGGCCAGAGAAGAGGCAGCTGGAGTAGTCCAGACAGGAGCATTATCAAGGTATGGACAATGGATAGGGTCGTCAAGACAGAATTTTGTATAGGAAGTGAAAGGATTTAGCAATAGCCTGAATGCAAAAGAGTTAGAAGTCCAGTAACACTGAGGTTGATAGGCTGGTGCAAGGGAAGGACCACAGAATTGACCATGAGAAAGAAATGAGGCCATAGGTCAGGTGCAGAGGAAGTTCAGTCTTTGCCATCCTGAGTTTGTCAAACAGTTGAAAGTTTGACTAGAGGGGCAGCAGTTGGGATGGAGATAGCATAAGGTTGAGTGAGAAGAGAAGGGACCAAGAATGGAACTCTGGCGTAATGTAAGAGTGAAAAGGAGAGGAGATGAAGCCACCAAGGGAGATGCTGAAGAACTAGTCAAGCAAGGAGTCATCAAAGCATAGAGGAGAGAAGTGAGGAGGAGGGGGTGGGTGACAGTGGCAAAAGGAGCAGAAAAATAGGATGAATTCAAGCCCTTATAATACATGGTCAGAAAGAGGCCACTGGTTACGTTAGTATTAACTTTCACTGCTTTTAGCAGAAATATTCAGCAATTATAGGTAAAGTAGCACAGTTTTTTCCTCCACTTTGAATCCTACAGGTAACAAGTGTGGTGTGTGTGTGTTTGGGGGGGGAGGGGGAGAGGAGTGTTAATAGGAGAAAATACCTTGGTTGCTTTGCACATAAAATAATTTTGGAGTACAGAACGATTTTGCAGGTGGATAAATTTGACTGAAAACTGGACCAGAAAGGAGTAGAGCAAGCTGTAATTCAGAATGACTGACAGATGAGGCTTATAAATGGCTAAATAACCCATGCAGCTTAATCTGCAGAAGTATAACAAGGAAAAAACATTTTGTAATCTACATGCAAACAATACTAATTACAGATGAGTGAGAGACATAGGAGTGATTATGCATCAGAACCATCTGCATAATATCTGGCAGCAGTAAAAAGGCAAATGATCTCAGGATTTTACCAGAGATGCTGAGCATAATTAAGCAGCTGGTGTTGTGGAACTGTTATAAATAAGATAACATTCAGAATATTATATTTGATTCTGGGTCAGTAGGGTATGGCTGAGATGGGAAGGGTGCCACTGAAATCAACCAAAATACCATACAACTTAGTTTGTATGAAAGAAGCTGCACAAAATTTCAAAGTGTTCAGATTATGGGTTTTGATTATACAAACTATGGCCAGACTGAAGTTTATTAGGAGACTAGAGGAATGCTCTTAAGCATTTTATCATAATTAATATGCATAGCATCAAATGTAGGGCAGGTGCTTTGTGCAAATCATCATCTTTGGAATTCTAACACTGCATGGAACTATAAATTAGAATGCAGGCAGGGTGACTCATTCCTTCATCTTTCCAAGAGAAGTAAGCTCGAGTTCCATGCAGTATGCTATGTGGGCGGTCTTTGAAATTGGTCTTATCTTTGCTCTGTGTATATTAGAGAGCCAGGGCACTCTCAAAAGAATAAAGATTTGGCCTGGTATACAGGGCTCAGATTTTACCTTCACACAGTTAGTGTGCTACACACCAACCCTGGAAGGGATTCATTCATATTATTGGTAAAGTCCTTGGGATTAAAAGTGCTCTGTAAAATATTACCAGTCAGAATTTCTGTAAGCAAAGTCAGACCCAGAAGATAAGTGGTGACAACTTCAAAAAAGCTGGGATACAGCATGACACCATGTCATCGTCAACAGTTATTTAGCTGTACCCAGAACCAATTATATACTAGGAATGTGACTTAGTGACTTTGTTCACAGAACTGGGACCTCTTACAGGTGTGCTGAGCTTTAAACAGATAAGTAACCCCATTGGTTTCAAGGGGACTACTCACATGCCTAAAGTTAAGCACGTGCCTAAGTGCTTGCAGGATCAGGGTCAAACAGTTTTTGTTCAGTGTCACCTCTTCTCCATCATGTAAAGGAAAAAAACAATCTACAAGCTAGAGAAAGCAGTAAGACTGTCCTCTACAAGGTGGGAAGCACTAGACTAGTGCACAACAAACAGGGTTAGAGAATTTTCCTTTCCATTTCAAATTACCTGATGAAATGTTTCACACGTGGCGAGTAGAAGAATTTCCTCCTGTTGTATTTTTTGTTTAGGTACCAAGGTATTGGCCACTCTTTGGAATTGTACCTGTCAATGACATACAAATTGGTTACAGTATTATCCATCACTTAGATTGCTGCATCTCAGTTAATGGATTGTAACGAAGCTGCTCTTTTTTGTTCAAGTTGGCAGGTACTATGGTCTAGTCAAGGGGTTCTCAACCTTTTTCTTTGAGGCCCCCCCAACATGCTAGAAAAACTCCACAGCGGTGGGGGGTGTCTCAAAGCTCTGGACTTCAGCCGCTGGGCGTGGGGGAGCTCGGGGCACCTGGCTCCTGCCCCATGGGGTGCCGGGTGGCCCTCCATAAGCATAGCTTGACTTCCATTTTAGGGAGTCAGCTCTGCAAGGCAGGGCCCGGGGAGGGAGCACCACCTCCACCCCCTGACTCACCTCAGCACGCCACCCAGCTATCTGGGTTGCAGGGGAGGGGTGTGCAACCAAAAATTATAACTCAAAGAAGGGGAGAGGAGGGATCAGCTCAAAAAGTTTGAAAACTGCTCAGGGTGTAGGGAGGGGGTAGCTAGGCGCTGTGTGCAGGCAGGGGGGATAGCTCAGGGTGCAGGGAAAGGAGTAGCAAGAAGCTAGGTGCTGGGAAAGGCCCCCTCACTGCAGTCGCTGCTCCCTGAGGGCTCTGCCGGCCCCGTAGCCGGGTCCCCCTGCCCGGGCAGTTCTTACAGACTGTTCGAGTTGTCAAAGGGGGCTGGGAGCTGAGGAGCAGCTGCCTTGCACACTGCACTGCCTGGCTGTGGCTCCCGACCTGGCAGGCAGTAGCGTAGCGGGGGGGGTGGGCAGGGGGGAGCGGCCGCTCCCCCACTGAGCACAAATGGCGCCTTGTCAATTTCTTGGCGCCTTTTTACTCAGCCAGGGGAGCGATTAAAAAAAAAAAAAAAGGCGCCACCCGTTGCGGCACTTTTATTTTACTCACCCGGCGGCGCTCTGGGTCTTTGGTGGCAGGACCTTCACTCGCTCCGGGTCTTCGGCGGCATTTTGGCAGCGGGACCTTCAGTGCCGCCGAAGACACCCGGAGCGAGTGAAGGGCCCACCGCCGAAGACCCGGAGCGCCGCTGGGTGAGTAAAAGCACCACAGCGGGTGCTTTTTTTTTTTTATTGCTCCCCCTGTTCCCTCCACTGCTGGCAGGGGGCGGGCCTTGGGGGCGTATATGGAGGGGGGTGGGTGGGTGGAGATGTCCACGGGGCTGCCCCACTCTGGTTAAGGCACTGCGGTTTGAGGGATGGGGGGGGGCAATGCCTCTCCGTGCCTCCTCCAACCGCACCCAGCCTTTCTACCCCATGGGATGCTGGGGCTCGCGGATCCCCTGAAACAGTCTTGTGGTCCCCCAGAGGGCCGCACACACCCAGTTGAAAACTGCTGGTCTAGTCAGTAACTGCTGGTTTAGTTAGTAGACCACAGGACTGGTAATTGGAGTTCTCTTCCCAGCTTGTTGGTTGACCTTGGACAAGTCATTTAAGCTTCTCTAACTCAGTTTTCACCTACGTAAAATGTGGATAACATTTATCCACTTCTATGTTTGCCTTGAGCCCATTGAATGGAAGGCACTGTACAAATGCAAAGAATCAGTATTCAAGTTTCAAAATGTTATCTTTCCAAAAAAAAAAAAAACAACCCTCACAAAAATTCCATAGCAAGCCTGTTTGCAATTTTAGATAAATCAATTTGAGTATGGTGTCCAGGCACTTTAAAAGCAAGCTGCAGCAGGAGCAAAAGGGCTGAATAACACAACTACACTTTTTTTTTTAAATACCAATGTTGCACAGGGATGCATCAGATACAATACAGCTTGCAGGAGTGGAAGAGAATTTTGCTCCATATACCTAGTACAATACAAGTTTAAGCACAATGATTAATGTACTCAGTACTCTACCGAACAGCCACAGAAATGATAAATGAGTCCAAGATTCAATATTCACTGCTGTATTGTCTCCACGTGAGCTTCCCTTTCTTTCTCCATCTCCTCCACACTCCTGTCACTCCAGTGCAGAATACAAAAACTGTTCCTCAAAATGCTATTACACTGAAGGTAAAATTCTGGCCCTATTAAAGTTAGTGGGAGTTTTGCCATTGACTTCGATAGGGCCAGGATTTCACCCTGAATCTAAGTTTACTGGAGTTTATTGGATATAGTCAACTTTAATTTACAGAGATTACAAACAACAACTTAAAATACCTGTCAACAATGATAGGAGATCCTAAATCCATCTACATGTAGTCCCATCTACACTGTAAATCAGGGATTGGCAACCTTTGGCACGCAGCCTGTCAGGGAAAGCCCCTGGAGGGCCGGGCCAGTTTGTTTACCTGCTGCGTCCGCGGTGGGTTCAGCTGATCGCAGCTCCCACTGGCCACAGTTCACTGTTTCAGGTCAATGGGGGCTGCAGGAACTGGCACAGGCCGAGGCTTTTCCTGACAGGCCACGTGCCAAAGGTTGCTGATCCCTGCTATAAGTGCTATAGTTTTTGGAAGACCAGGTTACATAGTTGCCCCTGAACACTAGGGTGGCCACTGGCCAGGTCCCAGTTTTTAACGGGAAGTCTGGTCAAAAAGGGGATCTTACACTTTCTGGTTACTAAGGGCGTGGGAGGCGTCCTAATCAGCCAGGGCTGCTTCCTACCTGTGTCAGGCGGCTGCAGCTCCCAGCCCTGGCTCTGCAAGAAAGTCCCTCCTGACCCGGGCAGGAGGGGGAGGCGGAACAGGGGAGCAAGCGACGGGGGGAAGAGGAGTGAATGAGGGGCAGAGCCTCAGGGGTAGGGAAGGGGAGGTTCCAACGCTCCTGCTGGAGTGTCCGGTTTTTAAATAATACAAAATTGGCAATCCTACTCAATCAGTGGTCTTGCAATACAGCTGAGAAAAGTCCAAGTCCATAGCACAACTTGGAAACACTGTGAACTCATCGACACCGCAAGACTAAACCATATTTCAACCACATCAGGGGACTACCATGTTGTAACCAGGTCCCCCAATACTGTAAAACTTTGAATCTAAATGGGAACAAGTTCTGTTTGCTGTTTATCTGGTGATTTATCCATGGAATTGCTAGAGAGTGGTTACCACCACCCCAGCCCAGCTAACTGCTTAGCAAAGTTGCCAGTGATGAAACATCCCCAAAGGTATTAATGTTGTTTAACAAATACTGCTTTTCTCTTCTAGATGGTAGATATATCTTGCTCTTGATAAGGTTAAAAAGATGTTTTTTCCACAATAGACATGTTATCTGACTCTTTTTCTGTAAGCTGTTTCTGTTTTTGATCGTACTGATACCGCCTACAGCTCTGCACATATAGAACAGTAATCCTCTTTCCCATACCAGTAGGTGCGTCCTAAGAAGTCATTTCTCCACTCGCCAGGTCGCGGGTTTTCGTGGCCTGTTTGTAACAGCCGCAGAGCAACTTCTCTTTCTTTAATAACTAAGTCTATTCTTCCCATAGACTTTTCCACCTGAAAACAGAATAACCATTTCAACATGACACTGAAGCCGCAATGCCGGTTATTGATCTGTGCTTAAACTGAGGATCTTTTAGTTAAGGTGCCAGCTGGCTAAGGCTCAAGCCAGACAGTGAATTGATGCTGGTAGGTTGTGGAAAACAACTGGAAATATGCAGATTTTATCTGCATTTCTGACAGTTCATGGCAGTGGTTTGTGATGCTGGTTGGCAACTTGGGATCTCAGTTCCTATTAGGTGATCAGAGAGCAGCAATGGCCAAACTATAACATTTGACCAGAAGCTTCTCAACACTTTTCCAGCTAGAAACTTTGTTACCATGATTCATGTGTGAGTAGATGAAGTCTGCAAAGTTAAGGTAGGGACAGAAATGAGTAGGGAAACAAGGTCAGAAAACTGACGGCAAATGTTAGAGAAGAAGACACTGAAAGAGGGTCAGAAAAATGGGAAAAGAACCAAGAGGTCACAGGTTCGTAGAAGACCTGGGAAGATAGAGAACGAAGGAGTTGAAGGCAGCAGAAAGTTCAAGGATAAGAATATGGGCGGGCTGCAACTTGGGCCAGGAAAAGATACCAGAAATGACTGTGAAATCAGTTTCAGTGGAATGAAAGAGGTTTTAATATGAATTTGATTAAACATAGAATCATAGAAGTGGAAGGGACTTTGAGAGGTCATCTAGTCCAGTCCCCTGCACTCACGGCAGGACTAAGTATTATCTAGACATCCCTGACAGGTGTTTGTCTAACCTGCTCTTAAAAACCTCCAATGATGGAGATTCCACAACCTCCCTAGGCAATTTATTCCAGTGTTTAACCACCTTGACAATTAGGAAGTATAGGAAGTGAGAAAGGCTTTGGAACAAGTTAACTTTTACATTGCTACCCTAATCAAAATGAATCAGGAACATAATTCTGGGAAACTGTCTTTTACAGGTTTGCAAACATTGCATCTTTCACACACAAAGTTTACCTGCAGTGATGTTTTTAGCTTATATGAAAAAGTTACCTTTTCTAATCGTTCCGGACTTGGCATAGGTAAACTTTGTCGCTTTGCTTCTTGCTCTAGAGTTAAAAGCATGTTTTTCTCTTTCAATAGGACATACCTGAATCAATGAACGTAATAGTACAATAAGGTCAGAAATTAGATGCAAGTTTTAGTAGTAACATGCTTGTAAATTATTCACTTAAATAGTGATTCTCAACCGCTGGGATTACACGATTTTGTGTCTGGTACTCTGGGCTCCCAGTTAAAAAGTTTTTTTTTTTTTTATTCCTTGCCTATGCTACTTAAGTTGTATTTTTAAAGATCTTGCAATTCTAACAATCTGATTTACTTTTAACAGGGCTTTTTCCTCTGTGATTTCACAGCACTTTACAAAGGATGGGTAAACACCATTATTTCCTGTTTTACTTATTGGAGAAACTGAGGGACACAGGACTAAAGTCATTTATCCCAAGCTCACATAGTCAGTGGCAAAGGCGGGAATTAGAACCCCATGTGTCTTAACCCCTAGTCCCATCCTCTGTCCATGAGACCACACATTTTTATATAAACCTTTTAAAGAACATCCTTAACTGATGGGCCAAGTTGGACTCTTCTGCACTGGAGCCCAATTCACCACTTCTACCTGCAATACACTGTACATACTCTGACCAGAATTAGAGTCCCAATACAGGTTAGAGTGTGCGCAACTGAGTTCACTGACTAATACAGCCATGTCTTTCATATGAAAACTGGCACAAGTGCCCCAAAAGGATAGGAAACACTGCACTAAAACACTTACCAAAGTTTGTGCAAATCTTCATTACTCTTGTTTCTTAGGTGTTTTGCATGCCACTCATCCCCTGTAAAAACAACAGCAACACAAAACAGTGATTTCATCTAAAAACGATCCATTTTCTGAAAAAATATTTCCACCTGCACACCATGTTGATTCCCTGGAAAGAATGTCAAATTACAATCACCAATTTTTGAAGGTTTTTCCTTGTAGATGACACTGAAATACTGACCAGACCCAACCCTGCTTAGAAAACAAGACCATGCTCAAATGTGAAAGAAACGGTGTACTGTTCCCTAATATTTGTAGGGGGAGTTCAGAGCCAGGGACAGTTGTAGGCAGAAGCAGGCAGGCAGGGACAGAAACGGGGGGGGGGGGAAGGAGAGAGAGAAGTAGCTTTATTAGAATAAGGAAAACAGTATTATCCCTAAAGTTCCTTGTTCAGTGTTAGAAGTGCAACCCTTTCTGTGATCTCTCGTCACATGACAATATGGCTAAAGACTATATGCTGGGCTATAGGGTTTAGACATTTTGCCTCTGCTCTGCATGATAAATGTTCCACTTGTATTAACACAGAATTAAAATAGAAAAGCAAATGAATATACAAGAAGTGACATGACATATTGCCACAAAATACCTTCTAAAATCCTGCATATTAATTTGCATATTTTTAACAGCAGAGGTATATCAAAGACACCAAATCCAAAAGGTTAAAAATAACTCACCAGATTTAACTACAGTTTCTCCCCAGTTTTTTCGGTCATCAAAAAACTCCTCCAGTCCTCTCCGTGACAAAGTAGTATGGAGAAACTTACACTGATAGAAGGGCTCTACTTTTGTAGTTTTCTTATGGAGCAGGTTCGAGGTTAATCTGCAACAAAGGGAAGAAAAATATATATTTGATTAGGGGGAAAAAAGGAAACTGCTAAATATGAACTTTACCCTCCTTTCCATTCTCATGGACACCTTCCTATTCTGATTGTAACAAGTTTTCTATTTGCAGATTCTCCAACACTGCAGGTTGCAGAGTCCACTGGAGAGAGAGTCGAAAGACATGGGTTCTATTCCCGGCTCTGTCAATGTCACACATCATCTCTATTTTCATTTCCCCTCTCAATCTTTGTATGGCTTGTTCTCATTTGTTTATAAGCTTCCTGAGCAAGGGATTGTCTCTTATTATGCATTTGAGTAGTGCTGAGCACAAAGAGGCCCTGATCATGGTTGAGACTTCTAGGCACTACTATGAAAAAAATAATAACTGGTAAAAACAGCATTTATGAAAAACAAGAATGACATGCAGAAACAAGTACTGCATTTCATAACACTAATATTATGTGCAGGAAGACGCCGTTATTACAAACAAATGCCAAAGGGCCTTTAACATCCACATGGAGCTTCTGTCTTTAAGGTATCACCAGGAGAAAACACTAATATTATTTGGAAATAACTACTTCAAACTCTGTCAAGAGCCTATTTTTCAAGGGAGTATAGCTACCGCAAACCTAATGTTTAGACCAGAGGTTCTCAAACTGTGTTCTGTGAGCTCCATTCAGGGAGTCTGTGGATAGTTCCCTCTAAGGTGCGCGCCTGGGGTGGCCGTACATGAGAGAATTAAGGGCCACCCACCTAATTAGTGGAACCATGCAGGCATAGCTTCACTGATTAGGTGCCTGGACCCTGGAGAAGACGCACATGTAAGGTGAGGTGGTGGCCTTGGGGGGGGGAATAGGGGATAGGTGGGAGGGGACAGTGAGGTGAGAAGAGGGGGTGAGGAGAATTTGGGACGTGCAGGAATGCGGTGGCCAGAGAAAGAGGCGACTCTTCCCAGCTCCAGAGCTGTGGCTGTCAGGGAAAGACGGCCCTCCTTCCCAGCCCCAGCTCGGGGGCTGCCACGGCAGGGGAGAGAGGGAGAGAC